GCCAGAAACAGCTGAAGGAATGTAACCTTTTTCCAGTAAAAAAAAAAAAAAGGATAGATGAATAAAAATATTCCATAGTTTTTGAAATTGCACATTGTAATAGATGAAAAAATCTCCCGTGACCTGTCGCGCCCCCCAGTTTGAGAACCCCTGCGCCACTGCCTTCCACACTGACTTCAGCTACCGACGACGATTTATATGCTGCCGGAGAAAACTAGCAAAATAATATGACTCCCACATAATTCAAAAGTAAGAAATTGGACAGCGGGCCCCGTTTCATTCCTTGCACCAGGGCCCATGCCAACCATGCTACGCCACTGGAAAGATGATACATTGCATTACGCTCTAGATTCCTAAGTCTAATAAACAAAAGCAAAAAAAATTGACAGGTCGCTCTGTACCGTGACGGACAGGTCGTACCTGATAGGTACTTCGCTGCGCTGGCCGTCCTATTTCAAGGGGATGGCGTGTGCTGACACCTGGTAGGAAAACTTCCAAGAATTCCAGACAAAAAATGGCGACTTGCTGCAGTAGAATGTTTAGAAGCCCACGTAGCCCCTAATTGCACCATCTGCTCTTCAGCTGACCCCATACCAAAAATCGGACACTAAAGCGTGGACCATGTCAACCAACGGTGCTCTCAATTCAAGCCTAGTTGTTAGCTCTCTCTTGAATGATGCCGGTGGTGATGCTCAACTGTGCAATGTGTTGGGGATGGCAGTTAACGGTCCCAAACATAGCCCCTGCGTCAGCCCTAGATATGTAAGGTTCGTGAGGCTAACTCCATTGGATTAGAATCAGAGTCTCTTGGTCAGGGAAAAGCCTAGGTATATAGACTCAACAATCCATTGCTGTAGACGTAGGTCTAGGTTCAGGCTTTTCATAGGCCTAATCCATGTGTTGCTTTGATGCTAAGCCAAGTCCAACAAAGTGATGCTTGGGTTTATACCAAAGACCTATCCTATTTTAGTTTCAATGACCTTTGCTAGTCTACACATAATGTTAGACCTTCTGTTTGGTGCTATGAAGGTCAATAGACTAACCTGTTGCAAGCAAGACCTGTTGGCCTTCACAGGCCAACATTTGTTTTTTATGTTTCAAATACCATTGGCCTAAATCTGCTGGATCAATTCAAACTGGTCAGTTTTATCCCATTTAGACCGAAGAGTAGGAAAATGCGAGAAAGTTAAGAAATAGAATATAAATGCACTTTCCACCAGGCCCATAGACCAATCTAACCTGCTTGATCAATCACAGGCCATTGAATTCATGCTTTTGTAATCTGATTACATTAGTTGCAATTCTCATGTAACATTATTATACAATTAGAATTAGCACACTAGGGGAATGCTGAACCAGTGCAAGATTATGCAAACTTGTGTTAGATTGTTTTGGCAGCATTCAGTCAAGAATCAGACAGTTATGGCAGATAGGAATGGTTCTTCAATGACCTTGTAGAGTATTGTTAACAGCTGTTGTTAGCTAGATATGTATTCCAGTTTATTTCAGAAACTATGCACATTGTTTATTTTGCATGTAGATCCAGATTGTGTAGATACCCATAATGTAAAGATTCATTTGTATATACATTAATGCTCATGGGTGTAGGAAGTTATCAAAAGTAGAGGGGGCAAATGACTCAGAACACTCTGCAGGGGGGGGGGGGGGATTCAGCAAACTCACAGGCCAGAATTAGATCCACTAGTCAGAGTTAAACATGCAACTAGAAAAAAAGTGGAGGGAGCGGCAAGAGGCTCCACCCCCCCGGTTTCTATGCCCTTGTTCATGCTGTGAGTGACAGTGGCAGAATAAAGTCATACCTCCATGGCAGAATTCAGGGTGACTGCTGCAGAAAAAAATTATCAGAATCCATGCTATGGAAATTTAAATTATGAAACTGCTTTAAGAGTTTATAAAGTTTTTTGTTAGAGCTATTTATTAAACTCGGTAAAACATGACAAGATTTTCAACTTTGAGACCTGTACAGATCCTTGAAGCTTCTAAAACTTTTCACATGGAGTTGAGATTATTCTCGTTTAATGTCCAAATACATTGGCCCTTTTCTATAATCTTTATTTTATACATTACTTTATTTTAGACTTTGATGCTAATTAGGGCACCCAAGTAACACTTTACAAGTGTATCAGCACTGATTGAGTGTCATCCAGTGCCCAATGTGCATCACCAATTTGTATAGGGTGTGCCAGATGTAATGACACTGTAACTTTAGAATGGTATCATTGAATTTCATCGAACAATGTGGATTAAATAACCTACTTATATAAAAATGCAATTGAAAACCAGCATCAATATTAATGTCAATAATTATGCAGTGCCTTGTCTTGTATACTCTATTTCATGATCCACCTGGGCACAAAACCTTTCTACTTGCTCTTAAGCACATCACCACCAGTGAGGGCAAGGATACAGTGGGCAGAAACCTTGTCCTATAGGTATCTTCAAAGAAAAAAATTTGACATTGTGAAGTCTGGCATTTGGGGGATATTTTTGTTCAGACTGTGTAATGTTCTTAACACGTTGACGACCAGCCTATTTTTGCTTGTCCGCCACGTGGGACCACGTGCATTTTTTTTGTCAAAAAATGCGTCCTGCCATCAGGACGCATGGTCCCAGAAAACATTTTTTTTGCCGAGTTTTTTTTTAATGTTGAATTTTTTGGAATTTTTATCAGTAATTACGAAATCATAATCTTCTGGAACGTTCTCAACAGTTCCAGAGGGTATTCATTGAAAAAAAANGTTCTAGAGGGTATTAATAAAAAAAAAAAATCTGCATCCTGGCATCAGGACGCATTGTCGCCAACGTGTTAACTGTTTGTAATGGAAAATAACCTGATATCTAATGCTTTTCTCTGGAGATAGCAGTCCATCCACTATGTTGCTTTATGAATGGTCAATCTGTTTCTGATGAAAATGACTGCTTAGTGCTCATTCTTTGATAAATCACATGCAACCATTCCAAAGTCATAGCACTTTGAAATCTGAGTCATAACTTCTGGCTCACTCTATAATAAAACCCTCAAGAGTAAGCTTCTAACTTCATGCAAGTGTCCTTTCCATAAATCAGATTTATCCTATAATATTAGGCTTAGATTCAAGTCTATCATAAGGTTCACTTTGAACCTTTCAGATGTAAGTTGAAGGCATTGGTCTGGCCTATGTGCAGTCATGCTGAGCTATGTTATGATAGTTCTGGAGACTTATGGGTGTATTATATAATCATAAATCATATCATTTTATAATTGCATGTGTTTCTTGGCCTCTTCATGTCTAGGTAATGTTATTCCTTTATTTCAAGTGCATGGTCTGACAAATAAGGACAAAAATGCAATCCAGTCGTAGGCGGAAGAAGCGCCAGAGCCAGGGGATAAGGACTTTGGAACTAGTGCGTGGCAGGAATGGCTTTGGGTTTACCATCTCAGGGCAATTTCCTTGCATACTTAGCTGCATTGTGTCTGGAAGTCCTGCAGAGGCAGCTGGTTTACATCCTGGTGATTATTTGCTTGGAGTGAATGGTCACAGTGTTATGAAATCATTGCATGATGATGTTGTGAGACTCATTGGCAGCTCCACTGGCTTTTTGAAGCTTCAGATATCTGATAACTATTGTTCTGACACATCTGATGAGGAACTACTTCCAGTTTCAAGAATTCGACCAAGATGTGCTCCAAGGAATAAAACACGGCAAAAGTTTTCAAATGGCACCAGCCCAAGGCAGCAGGAACATCCTGAGCTGCCAAGTAGGGTAGACTTGGTGAAGGATGACTTTGTAGTACCTGATCTTCCTATAAGGAGGATACACAAAAGTGCCAGACAAGATTACAGATATGTAGATGACAAATCGGCATCTGGTCTGCCAGTGTCCCATTCATCTCCCAGAATGAGAGTATCTCCTCGGAAGAGAGAAAAGCTCAACAAGTCACAGTTTGGAAGGGCTCCACTTGAGGATAATCTGCAAGGATTGTACTCAGAACAAGAACTCTCCAGCATCAACTTTCGAAGAGGAATGGCAATGCCTGAAGCACTCATCCAAGTAGTGGTTGGATACTTGGGGACTGTGGAAATGCCAAAAGACAGTCATTCAGGGCATACACGTAACCAAGCCATCAAGAATTGCATCAGGAGGCTTCATGTAGAGAAGAAAGTCCACACATTGGTACTCATGTCTGTTTTTGGGAACAAAATCTGCCTTCATAATTCACAGAGTGAGAGGCTTGCTGAGTATCCAGCAAGTTGCATTGTCTTCTGTGGGATCTATCAAGATGATCGAAAGCTCTTTGGTCTGGTGACTCAGAGTCATCTTGATCTGGAGCCATCTGAAGATGGCCAATCAAGTTCATGCCATGTCTTCATGGTCGATTCAAAGATGGTGAAGCACGTGGATCATGTGAAGAGAGCTGAAGCATTTGGTATCACTTGTATGGGTGTAAACAGTGGAGATTCAATAGCTGAATGTATCCAGTTTCCTGAAACAGCTGATCCAATTCTGCAGGTTGTGATGAATTTGTACAGAGGGCGAGTGTCTCAAGGCAATGAAGATGTTGCACCTGGCCTGGTTGACATAAATGCCAATGCTAATGCATCACCACAGCCTAGTACAACCAGCACCAACTCTAGCAACAGTGACTCTGGGATTGGATTTCGTGATGAGTCTCGTCCAGCTGATAGAATTTATGTCCTGGATGTACAAAGCCGACATTTTTCTGTGCAGGATATTGAATATGAATATTGTAGTGCATCTATGGAGAGGAGGAATAGGGGTGAAAATATCTCTGGTGTTGAATCGCGACCTCTGAGCATTTACCAGAAGAGACATCTTGGACCTCCATTTCTTGATTTGAGTGCCAATCAATATGTTGACCTTGTTCCATATCATCAAACTTCCTTGAACAGCTCAAAGCGATCCAATTTGAATGCAACTCGGAGCCTTGAGGACATGAGAGACAATGGATCAGAATCAGAAAGAAATTACAGTGTTCGAATTAGCGTTGGCTCAAGTTGCTGGCGACATACTGAGATTGGATGCCGAGGATCCTCCAACCTTGTGGCCTCATGTGGGCGAGTGCTTCATGGCTCTGAGAGCAATATCAGTCAATATAATTCAGTGCCAGGAGATTATGGGAGTTTGGCAGCCTTCAGTATGTCATCCAGCAAGAAGCACAACATGGTGAGATCTGGTTCCTGAGAATACCCGTCATAAATATGCATGTCATTAAGAGTATTATCATTATTATTATTGCAAGTTTGTTGACAGCATAACGTACAAAGTATGATAGCGCATGAGAGAGGTCATGTGATAAACGCCAGGGGTAGCATTGACTCCGGTACTTTTCGTCGAGAACTCAAAACTGCATTGACGGTTAGAGCGAGACGAAATGACTAACGCTCATTTAGGATTCACTAGTTAGTATCTGCATTTGTAATTTTTGTAATTGCAGGGAAATGATGGAGAGGATATGGACTCAATGTCTTCATCCAGTCAGCATTTCAGATCTCTTCGTCCCGAATTACTGGTGAGTTTCTTGTACGCTATAAGCGGATCTCGCGATGTCACATTCTGTAGGAAGGGGGGATGGGACTGCTCAATCGTGTTAATTTGTCACTGTCCATGACCCTAGATTCATATATGGAAAGGAGGAGTCGCGTTTCACCTCGACAGTAGCCTTGTATACGCAGCCGCTGCCATTTCTCTATAACCGCCACGTGCTAAATTATGATCCTATATGAGTTCAGCATTTCTCCTGCGCGTGGGAACGGTGTGGTTGAACTAATTTCCTGTGTTTGAGCCGTTCGGTTGACGTCGTTCCCCCCATAGGCGAAATGCGTTCTCACGGCACTCTCCTTTTTATGTCATCGAAGTAGGGAAAAGTGCTCATTCCCCGCTCCAGCGATTTCCTTTCCTCCCTCGCCTTCTCCTTCTCCCACGCCGCCTCGCACAACCCCTATGCCAGGGGCTGAGCCTGGTACCCGCCGCGCCAGTGTATTCAGTGGTCTCACGTCTGTGGTTCGTGTGAGGTGCTCCAGTGCTCCCTCTTCTCCGAGGAAACTGAAGGGTGGGGGGGAACAGGTGCACGTGCCGCTTTCGCGACTCCTTCCTTCCTGCCTACTCCCTCTGGCATTCTCAGCTTCTTACTGAGTGACTAGCAAACCTCAGAACGGGTGACTTAGATGTCAGGAAACTTTTCCTATGTCAGTTACGTATGAAACAACAGTGGCAGAGAACAGATCTCAACCGCTATTGGGGTTGTTGCTTTTTTTTCCCCAACAGTGAGCAAACTTGAATGTGGAAAGAGCTCATACTATTTAAACTTCCGTCCTTCACTTTCGACTCGTTTCTAACTTCTGATTCTTAATACATGGAATATTCCGTTTCTGTGCTTAAAGGGATTCGCCAAAGTATCAGTTTAGTTTTTCTATTACAATGAGTACATCCCCAGTCATGAGAAGCTCAGATGTATCTGAAAGAAAATCTGTACGGTGCATTCAAATTGAGATCTCTCGCTGGACGTTATAATATAAAGAATGCCTTTGGATTAAATAAACGAATTTGCTCATGTTTCTGCCTCGTGTGCTAATGTTGCCTGCCGCAGCATACAGGCCTATATGCTGCGAAGAGTCGGCTATCCTCAGGTATGGATCTTGAGTCTATTTACGCAAGGGAACCATTGTTTTCGGACAATAGCATGAAGATGGTATTATTGTGTAAAGGCAGGGCCCTCTTTTTTATGAATCGACAAGAGGAAACGGGGAGGAGTGGAAATGCGCGTGCATTGTATTTGGAGCGAGGTCATTTGTGCTCAGTGCTTTGTAGTGGCATACCTTTGCTCCACCACCTTTATCCAGCACCTTGTATAATGAATCCTGCTCTATATAAGAATAATGCTAAAAGAGAATAATGTGCCTCTCATGCTGTAGAGCTACTCTAAATTTTAACTCTCTCAGCATCCTTCAAATACAGGGTCCCCAACAGACAATAATTTTATATAGTCCTACTTTTTTAATATATAGGTTTTCGTAAAGCATGTAGAACCTTATATCAGTCGTCAGCTGTCGCTAGACTATGTGCTAAATTCTTGATACTTTCTTACTGAAGCACATTGACGATAACTGTTCTTGGCGTAACCAGGCATCCTAGGAGTGAATTTCATATATCAAACCGTTAATAATTACAATAATTGTTATAATATGGGTAGGTGAATTTTTTACGGTACAATGTAGGTTTCATAAATGACCCAAGTAGATAATACGGCAGACCTATGTAACGTCGGGATGAACAGGGAAGGGAGTCATTAAGAATGGGAATGAAAGAACCCTCGAGGCTCAATTTGGCTTAGACCGGAAATCCCCTAATGATGGTCATGGCTCTCGTGATGTCTCTACCAAGCGGATTCGTAACCCCATCTTGGATATGTGCTTCCTGCGACGGAGCCTCTACTCGAAGCATTGACTAGAATGAACTGGATAATCCATTGGAGAAAGCAGAGTTTTTCTTGAAGCAGCTTTTGTTGGAAGTGGTTGGGTCCCCCCACCCAACCACTTCCAACAAAAGCTGCTTCATGTCGACTTGTTTATTGCATATGATCTTGACACACATTCCCTCTCCACGGAGAGAGGCATAGCTCTGCCATTGCAAGCCTATTCCCCGGTGGGCGGCTTTTACGCCATGTCGACTGATTCCTCCCCTGTGGTTTATAGATCTCGTGTTACGCGTTCCCGAGTACATGTGGAATGCAGTGTAATGTGGCCGTACCGGTTGGCAATGGGTATTCATGTATCGAGTCTTGCCTATCTACGATTTCGTTTAACTCGTGAGGGGACGTGCTTATTGCTGTTTCCATTTGTCCTAAAATGGAAATACGCTTGTTTGCCATAAGATGCCATTTTTATGAGTTTATGGTTTCTGTAACACTCCAGAGAGAACTGCTATATTCATGCAGTAAATTCTATCATCTCCATGGATAGAAAGTGGTCTCCAAATGACGGAGTGACGTGCGTTCCGGATGCATGAGAGACGGATGTGTGCGTGTGTGCTCGCGTTTCCTCATTAAAGCTCTTGTTTGGAATGCGGGGCATGCCTGAGTATGACATTCCCCGCTTCATTTTTGGGAGAGGGGTGCATTACGTACATCAGAGAAACTCCGCCCGAGGGGTTTTCATTGTCTTGAATGGTAAAATGAAAGCTTTTCTTTTTGTTTTATGGACTTTTTAAATCCATTCTATTCCCTCCCCCCCTCCCCAAAGTATTCTGATTCTTCGATAAGTGAGGGGCTTTTCTTCTCCATTCTTAAGTGAAACAACGCATTCCAGTCTTTTTTATTTTCATTTTTATTTTTACAACGCATGCATTAGCAATAACTTCATTTCGGACAGTTGAAGGCATCGTATCCGCGGAAGTCAGGAAAATTCTCATTCAAAGTTATTCTTTAAAACTTACCTGTAGCCACGTGCGCATCCGTGGCATATACTTCAGAACTCAACAGGTACGCAAAGGTGGATTTAAGAAATATTTTAAAACACTAACTTTGTTGTTTTTTTATCCTTGAAGCTCCTTCTGAATCTGCAGATTGTGTACGTTTCTTTCCACTCTATTAGTAAGGGGGAAAAATTAGAATTTAGAAATCTTGGATATCTGTTAACGGACTTCCGTAAGCAAAATTAACTCTCCAATGTTTTACTCAACGATGTCAGTCGTTTATGTCCGAGGAAAATGACTGGAGTATCTATTATGAGACATTGCATGAGCAATATTTGATGCGCTCAAGGTAGATGGTGCAGTAAGATATCAAACTTTCAAATGTGTTTAATAAAATGCAGGAACATCAAATGGAGCAAAGGAAGGCGTAAGAGCCATTTTTGCTGTATAGGTCGACAGCGAAAACTGTTTTATTGTTTATTGTTCGATCTATTTTCCTAAATTTTGGTATGGTTACATTGTCTGTTCTGCGTACTTTACTCTTTATTAGACGAAACTTTGCAGGAAGTGAGAGAGATTGTACACTCTTATACCAGTACTCCTTTAAAGGGTTTAATGGGGGGAAGTTCTTAGAGGAATGCGCAAAAGAAAAATATCAGGCAGTTTTTCCATGCATATATGCACCTATCGAATGTTATCCGCGGCATTAAATTAGGAGAAGGTTAATCTGATTTTTATGTTAATGTTTGTGTTCCACTGTGCCATTTACTTTTTCGGAGGGAGTCTCTTTTCCCTGCATTGACGTTCCCAAAGGTTCATGGCATGAGCTTAATTTCTCTTACAGCATCAGCCTTCATGTTGGTACAATGACCATGGAGTTGCAAGCAAGTAGTGCTCTTCGAAATTTTCATTATTAAGAGCCATTATCAGAACCACATGTCACGCTCCATGAAACCGTTTCATGTTGAATATTCCATCTCCTTGTATAATGCCTGAAGCCTGACCCTTGTTCTCAATGGCTGTCCTGGTAGTATATCATATATAATGTACCGCCGTCACTTCAAGAAAAACGGTGAAGCGTCTTTTTTTATTATATGAGATGCTTTAAAGGCATATATCGTGTCCGAGAAGTAATTATTTTATTTTCTTTGCAACTAAAAAACAACGACCACGATTTAAACTTAGTAATTATTTATTAGATAAACGTCTCAGCCGTTTAATAGGAACGAAGGGGGGGGGGGGGACAGGAACTCTAAACAAAGATTCCAACACTTCTAATGTGCCCACCTGAATTTTCATCATATGAAAGGCTAAGGTTTAACTCTGGAATTGGTCTTCATGCAGAGGAATCGTTCAAAAAATGGAGTAACGTGTGAGAGTGCAAATCAGGAATAGTGTTCAAAATGCAGGTGACCCTTTTGGAATGTGATATTATGAATTTTCATGTTCATTTTGTCAATGTTCGAATGCCCATGAAAAGCCATAGATTTTATGGAATTCACGGGATATTTCAGTTGTTGGTCATTTTTCTCGCCAGTTGCGTGGGTTATGACAAGTCGAAATGCAAACGTTCTGTAAGTGTACGTTCGGACCCATCCGTGGAGAATCTGTAAAATCGGAAGTGAAAGAAGTTGCCAAGAAGGTGTGGTAATTGCGGGGGGTTCAGTGACGCATTGAGCGTGAGGCTGAAGTTACTTCACCATCAATCTATCAATCAAGGTCCTCTCGTCTGGCCTCAGGTGGTAATATAAGCCATCAATCCTTCTCCGTCTTTCTTTGCCTGGCTTCTGCGAGGCATTGCGCAAAACCTCCTTCGCGTCAGTTTTCAATCTCTCTGATGTCTAGTTTCGTGCCGACCGTCTAGTCTATCACGTCTGAAGAGAGAGTTGGTTCTTTCGTGCGAATGGCTTCTTCATGTGATGTTTACATACCTTTCCCCCCGTAGAAGTGTTATCTGAGATGGTTTTAAATGACCATTGCGGCTCTTACTTCCTCGTGGCTATTTGATTAGCATGTAGGAGGAGGGCGTGGCACCCCGAGTGATGTTCTTATTGTGATACACAAGTGAATATTGAGAAGAAATCTGGCCAGATTATACTGTGATGCAAGTGCCCGATGGCGACGTCCCTTTCCACGTCCGTATTAGTGGAACATTTGCACTGGAAGTGCGCGCGAGAGACGCATGGGTATGGGTTCGGCTCCTTACTACGCCCATGTCCTTCCTGTCGTCACAGGCGGCATCTGGCTCGTCGCCTCTCCGACTTGGGCGACCTTCGTATCCTCAGCGCACACATGCACAAGTTTCGTGTAAGGATCCTCCTCGTACCCAGTTTCCGTTCCTGTCTTCTCTTGCGACTGATGTAATAATATGGGATGATGGAGGGAGAACGATGCGTACACTGTCCTTTTCACGAGATGAATATAAGTGAACCTTTCTCTCCTCGATGGATCATTTGCATAACAAAGAAGCCCAAGTGGTTCTCATCGTTCTCCATTTCGGACGTATGGATGTTACGTATTTCCGTTTTTAGATCATAATATATTTGCATATAATCCCGTACTTCCCGTGACCATATTCCATCCCTTGACGCAACTGTTCCTGGGAAACCATATTGAAGATCGGTGGCCACAGTCATACAGCTAGCTCTTTCCATGGAATGCGTCAGTTATGACCTCTGCCGACCTCTCCCAGGAGAAGGAAGCAAAAAAAAACTTTGCGACCGGAAAGGTCAACGCCTCATTCTGAAATATTTTGTTCATTAAGCAGCATTCGCATATAGTTTTGCAAGTAGCCTTTTCTATTCGTAGCAAGAAAAAAAAACTTCAGCAGACGAATTCTTCTGAAGAATGTTAGAATTGCGCCAAAATGTCCCCCCGCTTCAAATCTGAAGTCCCGTTTGACGGCGAGAAAAAAAAAGCCATCATTCCGATTCGACTGCGGTTGATGAAGGGTTTGCTGTCACTCCAGCCTGGTCATTTACGCTATGTCGGATGTATAGATTGTCCGTAACTGTGCATGTAATCATAGCCGAGAAAAAGAGAGAGAAAATAGCTGGAGAAGGGGAATAGAGAAACGAATCGTTTCGAAATGGCATGCAAGCGAGCTTCACGGGTTCACGGTGATGAAGCGAGGTCGCCGACATCATCCTCGATGATGATGTCCTCTTCTTTGTGTGTTGGGAAGGGCGTGAATCACGAATCTCCTCGCGCTTTCTCCTATCAATCGCATCTCTTTCCATCTTGCAAGGGGAACGTCTGACGATGTGCGTGCGACGGAGACGCCCCGAACAATGATAACGCACCGGATCTACTCTGTACCCTGGGCCCTGGGGCGTCCGTTATAATATTCTTCGCGTGCTCGCTCAATGATGGCCATTGGCACGAACGAATGAACTTCCCGCTGGGAATCAGACTACCAGAAAGACCTTAATAACCTCATTCGTGGTGCCAATGAGCTTGTTCGACGCATGATGGCACGAGTGTTTGCTCATTGTCTGTTTGCCGTTCGGCTCGGGGACGATTTGCTTTCTGGGATAAGCGCTGTTTTTGTGATTACAGTCCCTTGTATGCATGTCTCTGACCCTCATGGTTCTGCAGAATCAACATGGGGTGCGGTCCACGACCTTCTTTTTCTTCGCGAGTCCCATTGCGAATTATTCACGGGAAAAGGTAGCATCGGGGTTAAGAACACCTGTGGGTAATATACAGCTGCCCAAGGTGCAGAGAAAGAGAGGTGCAGCACCTGTCTCGGGTGGGATGCTAAGGTGGGTAGGATGAGGAGCAAAAGCATAAGAGAGTACCCGATAATGGAGAACCGTCGGTGTCATCCTTGAGCAATATTCGACAAGACTGCTTCGTCATGGTCGAGGAGGAAATTCACTAGAACTTCCTCTGATGAATTCGTGATTCCTATTATTCCGAAGACCTTAGCGCTTTAGAAGGCGTTGTGTGCAACTATTCAAGCGTAAGAGGTGACGCCACCTCTCCAGTCGAGCGCAGAAGTGTGACTGTCACTCATGGGGATGGGATTCAGAACGAATCGCATTTTCAGGAAGCATCATAGCTGCCCTATTGTTTTCTCTTGCAAACAGGAGGTGAGAGGGGGAGATTGTGGGGGGAGGGTTCTCTTTTATAGTCCCGTCCGGAAATAACGATCGTTATATGGCTACCCCGATCTCGCGCATCAGCTGTCTCCTCGGTTTTCCGTTGGATCGAAGCGTAACCCAGGCCATAAGCCTCCCCTGCCCGGCTTCCGTTCCACTGCCCGATAAGAGGGGGTTTTACGTGGTTTTTGAAGAACGAGTGGTGAGAAGTGTGACGGTGTATTTTCCATTGGCGTGCAGGGAGAGGGTGGAGCGAGCACGTGGATGCATGCAGGGAATGCCGAGCACTCCAAGAACGATCAGGACCAGTCAAGAAAGTTGAGCCGGACGAGAACCGGGGAAGAGGATCTCTCTACCCTCTCCGATACGGAGGTCACACAGGTACACCTAGATTCGTTTCCCACGACTCAGAAACAGGAAAGAGGCGAATGATTATGGGGTCGACGTTGTACTAGCGTTTCACTGTCATGCAATAGCCATTGTGCTCCTTGATGTGCGGTTGTGTATGTATTTTTGTGGTAAATTTTAAATCTTGACTAGTCAGACCGACTCCGTAGGATTTAGCGAATTTCGGTTTTGCAAATTCATTGATCTTTGAACTCTTTAACAATTGAAATAGACTTTCTTTGTGCCCATGGAGTCACAGTCGATAATAAAAAACGGAAGGATGACGGCATGCTCTGCTGAAAGACCCAGAATGTGATGAGTCATGGCTTCCAACGAATGTGAAGTGCCATTTTCAGCCTTATATATCTATGCTGACTATTACTGTTGCGCGTTACGCACCCTTCCCAGAGATTCATCCTTGTGGGCAAGTGACGATTTGCTATTCTATTGAATCGCAATCAAAATAGCGAATAACAGATTTCGGGTTTGACAAAGAAATTCTGATTTGAATTCCTATCAGTTTGTTCTCTATTTGAAAATTGAAAAGATTCGGAATATTTTCGGATCGTGTGTAATCGCATGTCCCCCAAAGAAATGTCTTCTTTCAATTTAAAGGAGTTATATTCCTTTTTCATTGTGCTTGGCTGCGGTCTGAATTCAATGATAAATCATGTTGGGATTTGGTTTGAAAGGCGGAGATTTGCTTTGTATTGTATTTGAAGCAGCAGAGAAAGTGTGGGATTCAGCTTTATCGGCCTAGTCGGTTAATGATTTGAATTGAGACTGGGACCATGATTTGTGGGGATTCGGTCATCTCTGAATGAGATTCTTGACCCACCTTTCCCATTTCTTGAGCAAATCCCATACTCTGTAAATACTCTCTTTAGCGCTTCCAATATTGGATGTGACCAAGGTCAAGGTTTCAAAGTTTGAAAATGGAGGAACAGTTGATGAAACTGTTGGTTAGTAACATCCAATTATTGTACTTTGGGCATCTTAGGAAAAATTTTTTAATACAAATATATTCTCCACCTTTACGCACTCATATGCAAATTTGAAATGAAGGAAATACCCAAGGTCACGTATTTTAGTCCAGGCTTCACCTGCTCTTGAATGGTGGTTGTGGTTGTGATACGCAGTTTTGCGACAAGGAGGACCTTCGACATGTGGAAACGAGCAGCGTGGGTGGAAGCAGTGCAAATTCGGAGAACGTTGGCCGTGTAGGCTCTTGGGCCTTGTCTTTTGAGAGACTTCTGGATGACACAGCAGGGATACACACCTTCGCTGTGAGTGAAAAAATTATTCCCATTCATTTAATGCAGGCATGAGGATTAGTGATCAAGAACGAATGTCTAAATGAAATCAATAGGAGTTTTTGAAGAAGGAGTTTAGTCACGAGAACATCTACTTCTGGGCTGCAGTGCAGCGATACAAGAATCATCCCCTGTCCGTCAGAGGAAAACTTGCCCAGGAAATCTATGATAGGCATATCAGTGTGAATGCAAGTGAACCAGTAAACGTTGACAGTCAAGCCCGTCAGACTGTGCAGGAGAGGCTGCGATCAGCTTCTCCAACATTGTTTCAAAAGGTATGAGTACAATGACCTAATGAATTCTTTCTTTTTATGACAACTTCCATTGTCAACATGGATAATGCAGCTCATGCCACGGTGAAATTTTCTTCATTCTGTAGGCAGAAGACCAGATCTTCAAGTTGATGAAGTTTGATTCCTATCCCCGGTTCTTGAAGAGTCCATTATACAAGGAGGCTCTTATGGCTGAAGTTGCTGGTTATTCTCTACCATATCCAGGGGGTGATATTCTTGAGTCAGACCTTCAAGTTTTTGAAGCTGATGAAGTTTTGGTGAGATACTCTTGAAGTTTCCTGAATAGTCTAGGATATAGAATAGAATAGGATATGCTGAATAAGGAAGAATGAGACTTTAGCTAGCCTTTCAGAATGTTTTTTTTGTTGCAGATTTTGCTACAGTTGCTTCATTCATCAGAGATTATGTGAATGTGTCCATCTTTTGCAGGCTACCCCAAACAGCTCCAAGCATGTGGGACGGAGAAGATCTCTCCTTGCATGGGGTCGGAGAGCAAGAGCAAAGTCACGTGACAGAGGGAGAGGTTCAGAGAACCATGGCCCAAGAGCCAGTTCTCTGAAGAGATTCAGAGGGAGAGATAGGAGTAGAGAGACAAATAGCAGCACAGCCAGTTCAACTGCTGCGAATGAGGCTGGCTCCCAAAGCTCAAAGACAAGTCTGACTGCTTCTGATCTTGGCATTTTGTCAAAAAATTTCTCCACTTCTAAGGAAGTGAGTTTTTCTTCTTCATCCCTTAAATGACCTGATTATCAGTTTTTCTTCATCCTACTTGCCAGCCCTCATCTTGTGGGAACAAGTTGAGTAACTGTTGGAGAATTAACATGTGATGGAAGCTCAAGAGTTTTTATACTGTCATTACATTAGAGTTGCATTTCTGCACTTTTCAGAGCCTTCAGAGTGATAGGGGAGAGAACTCTCGGCTCCTTTGTCGTGTTATTCTACCTGATCAGTCTACAACTGTTGTGTCAGTTGTCCCTGGAGAGACAGTACGGTCTCTCGTCCATCGACTATTGGAGAGGAGAGGGCTGAAATATTCAGCTGTTGATGTATTCACCCTCAACTCATCAATGGTTTGTTTTCTTCCATTTCTCAACATTTATCCAATATTATGGTTGAGAAAATTCATGCCCTAGACTTGTCTTCATGATTTTTGATGAGAATGCATAAGGATCATTCCATGAACATAAGGACAAAATGTGAAATTCTATATTTGATGGCAATTACAGATGGGCTATGCAATATTTGATATTACCACTCTTCCTGCAAGCTGTACTCAAGTGTGATGCACCAAAAATGAGAGTAATCTAGAAACTTTTTAGAAAAAATATTCTTTGGCTGCTCAACTTTGTGTAACATGATTCATGAGCAACTTTTCATATTTACTACCTTCTGAAAATAAATTCTAGTATGTAGGTGTTGTGAGAAATTTCCTTTATGCTTGCCATAAAAGGAAGTTCAATGATGATTCGATTTTTCTTCAAATAAAGTAGGTATTTGTTTCTGAAAATTGACTCCCAGAGATTGTGTTCTTTTTAAGTGTAACATGAGTTATGAGAACTCAAACTGAGTTATGAGAACTTCACTCTCAGAAGTGCTGTAAGAAAATTGAATTCCTATGATCAGCCAGAGGTTAATGTCTATGATCTCATTTCCTTTTGTCAAGATCCTCTTTTTGAAACTGGGGAAGCATAGTAAAATTTATTGTCATATTGTTTTAAAAAATGTGAAATGAATCATGATGGAATAATCCATAAGCACAAAACTTGTGGATCAGTGGGAATGAAGGAAAATTAAAAATTCATCATGTTTCTGAGACCAAAACATCTGTGTGTTTTGGATTCAAGTAATATCATGAAATTGAAACCAAAAAAAGTGTGGTCTCATGGCTAATCCTGTGAATGATTCAAACATGAATTTTGCAAGCTCAAAGCAATGCCAATGAGGCCTGAAGGCCAGCACTCTTAATTAACCAAGCACAGGGAATCCAGGCAAGAGAAGTATCAACTCTTGAAGGAGCAAAGAGCCTGTGATTTATAGTCATGTCAATGATTTGTGATTGAACAAAGTTAAAAGTGGAAGGATTAAGTCTAGAGACAATTAAGCATTTTCTGGAAAAATCCACCATCCTTCTACATTCTTGAGATTCCTTCACCTAAAGAACTCTCATTATTAGGAGAAGATGCTTTCTTCCCTCACTTCTGGTGACTTCTCCTACCCCTGGAGTACAAGCTAGCAAAACTCCTTTGTCATTGCCAATCAAATGTTTTTCTGTTTGAAAATCTGTTGGACATCTGTCTAGTCTTCTTAAATCCCTCAAAACTGAAAACAAAGTGATGCATTTTTTATGTTTTGCAGGCTTTGGATCAATTACTTGACTGTGCCAGTCTTGCTTGTCAAGATATTCGTGTAGAAGCTCGTGTACTAATCCAAGTGGACCTACCTTCTGGTGGAAAGTCCATGTCACTAAAGGCTGCACCTGGCAGACGTCTTGCAGAAGTTCTTCGTCCAGTCTTGGCTAACCTTGGATTGAAAGTTGACCAACTAGTGGCATACAAGGTAGGAGGAGTTCAAAGACTTGTTCATTTTTGTTATTTCAAACTAAGCATATTGATAAACCTCCTCTCTTTTCAGCTGGGAGATAAAGAACCTCTTAGTATGAAGACCCTGGCAACCAATTTGGACAGTCAGAGAGTTATTCTCAAGCAAAAGGATGGTGCTACAGGTACCTTAAAAGGCTTCTCTTTAAAGCTTATTGAATATTGATTTACCTTGATTGGATACAGTTTTGTTTCATATGACTAGTCATCCTGTTTTTGCAGAGGTTGCTGATGTATCTCATGACATCTGTTTACCTTCCTCTGAGGTACTCAGATTTTCAGGTGCATTTGTGGAAAATTTGCACCCAGGTATTCATTTCTGGGATGTGGTCATAAGGAAAAATGCTTCTTCTCTTGATATTATGCATTTAAAAATTTGTATATTCTGGCAGAATGACTTTATTTGACTATATATACATCCCCATTTTTAAGCAGATGAAAACTGCAGGTTTGGAATTTTGAAACCACTTTGCAGCTAGTTATTCAGAATTTTCTGGATGCACAGGTAAAAAGTTCCAGTTGTGGATACTGGAAAGCAGATTTTGGAATGGAAAGAACATATGCTGAAGGCTCGAAAAGGATTTCTAGCTTGGAAATGCTCCTGACACTTGAAAACAGGAATGGTTCCTCTCTTTGCCCCTGGGCTTGTGTGGCTAAACTGAGCTCTTTTTTTTGTTTTTGACTGTTACTCTATGATTGTGCTGTTTAAAATTTTTTAAGGTTTGTGGATTTTATCAATCAGAACTTACAAATCTTTGCAGGTCTAGGGAAAGCTCAAGGAACACAGAGACCTCCTGGTGTCATGTTGGATGAAATCACCAATAAAGTATTCCTTGACCTCATGAGGAGCAAGAGTGTAACAGATGCTGACAGGGTTCCTGTGAGTTACCTTTTATGGCTATTTGGCTATTGAGGCATGTATGTATGCATATTAGGTAGTGTTTTATTATATGAAGGCAAACTTTTGTGATCCAAATTCAGTTGCATCTCTGTCAGCTCCTTTTAAGGAGTCAGCAGTCACCAACAGTTCTCATGAATTAGGAATCAAATCATATCTATCATCCTTGACCTGAAGCAAATCTTTCATCTCACAGATTTCATTTTTCTTCAGTAGAATTAAACCATATAAGTTTGAACAGTGCCTAAGTTCATACACCATAACACACATTGTTACGAAAATGAAGCATTTGTGAGGTCACTCTTAGAAACAGTTCTTTGCTGCTTTCTGTTTCTGCGGGTAAATTTATGAATGCTTAGTCATACTGGGTGGCCCAGAAAAAGGGTAACCGAAATGTGATATCATATTTATTTAATTTGTTACAAGTAATCTAGAATACATATGAACCAGTGAATAGTGAAAAAAAGGATTTGACTTGGCAAATATAATTTAAGAAGTTATGAAGGTGGAAATGGTGGACCAATAAGTATGGCTGTTTTCACTGTTTCCCACAACTGGCTCCAAAAATGTTCTTTTACTGATGCCTTTCAATTGATTCTGAAGTTCTGGGACATGAGTAAAGTTGTCAGTACCAAAATTCATCATTCTGGCAGAACCAGTTCAGTCCTGAAGAATGAAAATTTGGGAATTGAGCTGAACATCCGAATTTGTATTGTCAATGACATTATTCTAAGAAGCATGTGCTTATAGTAATACAGTAGACGTGGCCAACATGCCATCAGTTGGTGAATCCAAGTTAAAGTCATAGAATGATTAAAAATAATGGTCCCATGTATGAAATGCACACTTCTGTAAATATCAACATGGAACAGCTTAAAATCTGTAATAAACTAAATGGTTTCTTTTAGGATATTTCTGCTATCTTTTTTTTTGGGGCCACCCTGTATAACAACGTATGTTGTAATGATTGAACTTAGATGGTTTTACCCTATACTGTTCCCACAAAAAATAAGTCTGAGCTCTCTGCTTAGCATTGTGAGTGGATATAGTCCTCTTTTTCTCATTTATTGCATGAAATTCCTTGTTGCAATCATTCCATTTAGTTTGATACTTCTTTTTGTCTTCTTTAATTCAGTTTACAATACATGACACCTCTTGCAGGAGTTTTAAGGATGGTTGAGGGAATATGAAGGGGATTGTAATATCCATTGCCTCACCATTGCTCAGTTTTTCTTCTTTATTGGTTTATTAGAATTGCCATATTGGTGATATATCTTGCACCTTTCAAATGCCATTTAGGAGATGCCTATACTGAGTCTGAGACTCTTCAAATGGACCCCTAGTTCTTGATATGAAGTAGTTTGCTATGATGAATTTCCCCATAAAGTTCTCTACTGGTGTTTCAGGGAAAAGCCTCACATGTTTCCATTGATGATGCTGATAATCCAAAATGAAATTTAAATCTAAACCTGAATCATGAATTGAAATGAGAGTCTCTTCATATTACCATGACTTGTGCATGGTTTCATGCATTGGGCATTTGAAAAATATTTGCTGTACCTTGCGGGATTTTTATGCATTTTGCAGACAGATGAAAGCTCCTCACAGTCATCAGGAATAGTGGGAAGTCTGGTTCGACGTAATTCCATCCATATTGATCGAGACCTACAGAAGAATGGAATTCAGAGCCCAATCTATGAGGTTCCCTCACCTAAGCCCAATTTTCCTTCACCAACATCTGAAAGTGAGTTTTTGTATCTTTGTCTCAAGTGGATTGGTAACTGGGATTTGCATCTGATCATGCATTTGAAAACTGCTCCAGCATGAGTATTTAGTATGAGTGTGTTGACATGGTAACATGAATGCACTTCTCCTTTAGCACTCTATGAAGACCTGAAGAAAGCACAAAAGCTGAGGCTGGAGGACCAACGTGGCACAACTATCAACTGTCAACTACCAGAATTCCTGAAATCACCTGGACAATCTAGATCACATGTGAGTCTCTTTGTAGAGTCCTTTATGATTGTATTGTGTACTCTGCCAAAGATAAAGTGTTTTTGTTGATTTTAAGATTTTAGAAGTCAGGAGAGTTGGGCAACTCAAGGACTTAGTAAACGTACATTATAAGATCACTGGGCTCATTTTACATATTTTATTATGCTTGGATTTATATATTGCAAGAAATCATGAAAACATGAATTACATCACATCATGCTTTAAAATAGTCTTTTTGCATTAGCCATTCATCTCTGAAAAACAGACTTTACATTGTTAGTTACTCTTTTGTGTTGCAGAACAAGGAGAACCGAGAGATTGGACAGATGATGCCTGGTGGAATGGCACCATCATATTCCCGCTTTTCATCCTTGAGTGCCAGCATCATGACAGTTGATGACACCCTCCCCTATGTTGATATGAGTTTCTCTCATGATGGAATCTTACCTACTCATGCCCAAGCAGAGAATTACTTTGGTCTGAATCAGGCAAAACACGTGATAGCACAGGCATTCCAAGGCCAGCACAAATCCTGCAGCATGAGTCCCTTTCCCCCACAGGATGGGGATGTGAGTCTTTCACCATTACACATCCCTACCCCCAATACATCAGTATCTTCTCTCCATGTGGAAGAAGCCAATTTCACACCACCATCTCCCCTGGTTGTGAATCCTAAACCTCTCTTCCGCAATGCTCCTCCTCCTCCTCTGCCCCCAAAGCCCAAGACATGTCCTCCCAGGGGGCCTCCTCCTCGTCCTCCCCCTTCACGCCCAACTCCTCAATTAAATCTCTATGAGATCAATCTCAATGGTAGCTCTTTTCCTCAGTGTCAAGATCTTCCTACTGGAAATGTCAGCTTTGTTTGAGTCAAGTGAAATGCAGTTGATGATGTGTGTATCCCAAGGAATATCATGTTTCTTGGTGACATGGTATACCATATTGCCACTACTGGCATTCATGGTACATTTTTTTACATTAGGCACCCTAATGGTGTTTTCCCATTGTGTATTGTATTAGTGGCTATTTTCGTTGAATCCAGTCACTTGAGTTCATACCCCACTTTATGGGTACACAGTCAGTCTTCCTGATAGTGTGGTTCATGTTCTCTAAGAGGACAAGGGTCTGTTTATCAGTTTCAAGGAAACCAGAAAAATGATAATTGTTGCATAGGCCTTACATGAAGATGAGTGAAAAATTCAGCTTTCTGAAATGTCCTGCTTATTCTATTGGAGATAATGTTCTCTGTTTTGCTGGCTAGATTACTTCATGCTGTAGTCATTTATACTTGCAAGTTTCTTGCATACCAGTGGCAACCCAAGTTTTCTCAAACTGATCTAGCCCCTAGTGCCATAATTCTCATGCAGTATAATGATATTTCCATGTTTGAAAAACCTCAAAAGATGAAGTATATTAGTGACTTTCTTGCCATATTTTTTTTTTAGGATACATGCCAAACTATGACTGAAGACATTTTTCACAAGGAATATTGGTGGATTTATCCATTTGGAATGTCAGTGGAACTGCCTTTTTTTGTACCTGAAAGGAAAGAGCATGAGATTCCCACTTTCATTTTGCTGAGTCTGAAGTGGTTACTGATCGTCCTTTGACTTTCAGAGATCTCAAAAAGATCTTTCTCATCTCATGTGGTCTTCCTTCCGGTACTCATTTTTTGCAGGGAATGGTCTGTAGTGCCTCATTTGCAAATCAGTGTCTTATGAGATCTTCCATTCCATGTAACTGCATTATCCATTCCAAAATCTTCATTCCTTCCCATGTCAAGTTGTGCAATTTTGTAGTCACTTGGTTGTACATCACTTCTTTGGATCCCATGCATCATTCATCATGTTGGTTTTCTTTGGAAGATGGGAAGTTGAGACTGTTCTGCTATGAAACTACTTGGCTGCTGGTCATTGATATGATTTTTTATTATTTTTATGTAATAGTAGTTTTCAGGTGCTGTTGTGTTCTTTGTTTTTTTTTTAAATGTAGAGTGCAGTTATTTGGGATTATGTGATGTGATGTGTGCTTGGTTTTGATGCGAATTTCACTCTGCCTACGCTTAAGAGCCTGGAGGAAGCGTAGCCTTTTCATACAAAAAATATTTGAGGATATTTTGAAGCAATAAATCCTAAGTTGCCAAAAACGACCGTTCTTTCAATATGACTTTGTCCTCACCTCTAATTGGACAAACAAGGGTAGTTCTGAATTCTGTCACCTCTTCCTGAAGTATCTGTTAAGCAGAGGCATAGGCATACATATGTAACACAATGTTTTGAAGAAATGAATCTTGTAGGTTGTTCTTTTAGCCAAAGGTCCACACAAGGATGCTGAGGTTTGAGCCACCCACTTGGCTCCTGGCTACCCCCACCCAATATTTTCCTGAAATGCGATTAGTGATGGACTTGCTGGACTTAGTGATGGAAGTGCTGCATATACATAGTATGGGTTTATGACCACTCCCATATCTAACGTCCTATAATAACCAATTTTGGGAGCAAGAACTCGTCTCGCAGAGGCTCTCGTTTTGGGTGTCTCGAGTACCGTGCTGGTAGTACAGCACTGAAAAGTCCTTTCATAGAAGTCAACTGAACTGGTCTGAACTAACGTATTTACTGACCACGACTTGTCTCAGTACAAAATGGATAGTACTGAATACGTATGGATTTTTTGATGAAGCCTAGTTTGCGCAACGAAAAGGTTCTTTGACTTGAAGAATATTATTTACGTAATGGAAATGGAGTGGTACTGCGACAGATGCTTAATGAGATTTAAGTACAGTAAGCCTCGATTTACGTCATGGATGCTTTCCCGGTAAACACGACGGTTTATCGAAACATACGTAAATCGGGACGACGTAAATCGAGAACTTCCTGCACCGCAAAAGTGTGATACTGTAATAGAGGCTTAATGAAATTTCAGTACCGCAAAAGTCCTGAAAGTGCTTAGTAGTACGTACAATTGAATTATGCTGTGCAAAGCCGCTGGAACGATTTCGACAAATTATGTACCTCTGGACTGGGATGATCAGGATAGAGAGAGGGAAGTGTATATGATGGTCTTAAAAATAGGGTCTGTATTCCGTGAAACAACTGAAATCTAACTTGAGCGATTGCAAGCCACCAGTTAGAGGGATTGACGTGTTTTTTAGTGGATGACCTTTTCGTGATCCTGGAGGGTTGTTCAGTAGAATAATGAATATGTGGTTTCCTTCTTTGGTATGGGCGGCAGCCTTCTCACACAATGGTCTAGCATTACGTCATCAGGGTATGTGCTTTCCCAACTCAGTAGTGATGTACACGGGTATACTGCTTTTCTAAATGCCACAATCATGCAATAATTTCGTTTTCATAACGAAAGTCTATTGAACTGATCGGAAATAATCGTGTAAGTGGTTTCGAGTAGACAGAAATTGTGGACCAAAAGGACGTCTTACGAAACTCTTGCAATTGAAATTTGGCGGTTGTCCTGGGTACCCTTTCTCGCTCAGGGATACTGCGCCCGAGAGACCCAACACAGGACAGCACTTTCATCCTCCAATCATGTGATTTAGGAGAGGTTGACCATATTTTTTAAAAAGGAAAATCCAGGACATTTTCCTCTCATTTCCAATCGCCAAAGAGCTGCTTGTTGAACACGAGGGATATCGGAAAAAAAAAGTAAGCTAAGAACAGTTTTTTGACCGGGGCTGTGCCTCAAAGACGGGACTTTCCCAGAGAAAACTGACTGTCCGGGTAAAACTGGGATGATTTGGTCGCCCTAATTTTGAATAAGCATGAATATACGCAAAAAATTACCAGATAATGACTGGAAAAAAAAACAACAGGAACCCATCTGATATGGTATTGTATCGATAATGAAAGCAAGCCCAGCATGTTTGTATCTCGGGTGGTCGGATATATCACACGACTTTGGGGACCCCCAAACGCGAAAGTCGTGGGACCCCAATGAGAGGAGCCCGACGGGAGATTATTTGACCAGTCGCGTGGTGGTCTAGCGCGATGGGCCAGCACGACCTCGGAAAACTCTGCATATGGTGTCTATATCACAGAGCCTAGAGCAAAGTTATGGAAATGAGCATGTCAGTGGATCTGTCTCTCCCCTAAGTTTAATACTCCTCCCAGAATTTATAAGTAATATCTTTGGCTATTGATTCGCCACGTACAAAACGACGAAATTATTGCATTTACCCGAGTCATTTCACATCGCTGTGTCTTCTCGAAACTGTCTTCGCACATGAGTCTTATCATGTGATACTACATTAATTCATTTCATCGACTTCCTCAAGGTCTAAGGCAGGGGTGCGCAACATACGGCCGGCGGGCCGCCGTGACTCGTAGCGTTGTAAGTGCTACTATGGCTCCTACCTTGTTGGCTACAGCTATGGTCAGCCAAACTGCTGCCCGCGGTATGTGAGTAAAAATTACAAATCACAGACTTTTGAGTTGTGCACCCCTGGTCTAAGGGCTCAACAAGTTCGTTAATATAAGGAACACATGGCAGCAAAAGATGAAAAGGGGAAATAAGGTTGTCCGGACAATGTGGTCCCAAATGAGGAATGGAATAAAACTATCCTTGCCGTAAAAAGGTTCTATGAGAGCCAATCTAAAGTTAATTTTTAATTATATCATTGCATTATCTATCAAGCTACCTATTTTTTTTAAGTTATTTATTGGCGTAGAGCAGTATAAGCATTGACTGATCCGGGGGGGCTAAGAGTCAAGGAGATAATCATTTCTGTTTTGCCAGACCGCAGAGTTGTTGCCATCATTAGATGTTAGTGGAGTATTTGTAACTTAATTTTTTTTTTCTCCTCATTCACATTTCCATATCGTATCCAAGGCCGTATTTAGGGGGGTGGGGGGGTTCATGGGGTTCAACCCCCCCTCCCCCGAAATATCTTCCTTACATTTTTTCCATACTGCTATTCGTCGGTGTAAACGGCGCAGTACTTAGTCTTTTTTATCTTTAATAGATTATGACTTATTAAACACTGCAACTTACAGGAAAATTCAGATATGTCACAAAGACTTACAATGACAAGTAGGAAAAAAAATAGCCACAGCAAATACGCCAGACCTCAACCCCCCCCCCCCTCCCCCGAAATGAAATCCTAGATACGGCCCTGTATTCGTATCCGCTCTGCTTTCCATGTCTTAGTACCTCACCTCACCCTCCCCTCCCTTTTCTTGATCGCCTTGGAAGCCCACCCCCCTCCCTCTGCCCACCTTCTCTTCCCCCTCCGCCTGTCTGTCTTGCTCGGGCTGCCCCCCGTTATGAAGGATTTCTATATCCTCCCTTGAGGGGAGGGGCCGAGGGAAAAAACGAGGAGGCGCCTCCATATGAATTCCAAACACGTTGGCATTTGAAAAATCACTCATGGGTAGTCAGAAGGCAAAGGGCTCGGTTCCGAATGATACTAGGAATAGCACCAGATCCTCGCTCCGGAAATAAATCCTGTTAACAGGATTAATAAATGAGAGTGAGAGGTTGAACTTGAGTCAATAGAGATACTCGTATCTGACAAGAGAACATAAAGGAAATATGGAGGTGTGTAAAGGTCATATAGGGTAAACACCTAGTTCACCTAAACACCTTGGTCGTATAGTTTTTGGCCACGTTGATACGACTCCCATAGAAAGTGGACAGCTGTGCGCACACCGGGAAAACTAGTCATAGGTCCTCGTACGGGAAGATGTTGATAAAATGCTTGAAAACGGCCTGATTAAATAATTATGCTGGATTTAAGCTTCACTGGCCAACAACTGGAGACCAGCCGGAAACTGGAGTGCTTACCCTATCATGTTCTAATAATCCGTGGGCAACGCTGAAGTGTTATGTTCCACAGATTTGCAAACAAGGCCTCTTTCCACTTGCATATCTTATCTCTGGGACAAAAAAGACAAGAGGTTCAGCGAAAGGACTTTCCCCTCGTACTGTATACTGACGCAATCGTCCACTCTTGAAGGTGTATTTATACAAATAAATTGTGAACCATTGTGCCCATCAATCATAACCCAGGCAGGATATAGACATTCTTAATAACGAGGACTCTGACAGTCAAGAAAAGGTAGGGGAGGATGGGGTGAAGTACTAAACGGTGCTGGTAAGATCAAGGAGTGTGAACGAGGAGGGAAAAAATAACTTAGTAAGTACTCCACTTACATTTAATGATAGCGGTAGCTCTGAGGTATAGCAATATATAGAAGTAAAGTCTCCCTGAATCTTAGCTCCCCCCCCCCCTCCCCCCGATTCGTCGATAAATACAACCACTAAATTAACATAGCAATTTATATTAGAAAGTTATCTAGAGTAGATAATTCATAATTGGCTTTTGATGGACTATCATGATACCATTTTGTTCTCGGACCATATTGTTCGAGGCTAAAATGTCTGGAATGTCCTGAAATCGAAATAAGAGCAACGGAAAGAAGAAAGAACCACGGCCTACATTTTCGACTGTTATCAAT